CCCCAAAACCCCAAAACCCCAAAACCCCAAAACCCCTGACTCGGAGAAAATACAGGTGATAAATATGATGAAATATGGAGATTAAGGCCTTAACCTAAGTCCTAGTCCTCTTCATTGGTCAAACAGGTCTACAGAATCATCTTGGAAGACGCATCTCAGTTAACACTTTCCTCTATAGAGTTTAGATGAAAGTATACCAGTGATAGTCTTCATTGCTGACAACTTGACTCTTGGCTTTCTGAGAGAATTTAATTTTTGACGTGCTTTAAATGCCTTCTGTAATAATTTCTGACGGTCTAGGTTAAGTTAGAGGTTATACTTCACAATCGAATTTGGCTTACTTTCATCCTGGGTTGTTAGGAGTGGCTTAATGGCGAACTCCTTCTTCCTTCTAGAATAATTCATATTTCTGAGAATTTTCTTGGCGAAATTATCTATAGAAGAATTAGATTGGCTGATTCTCTCAAATGTAGGCTATAGTTGACCTTTTTCACACAAAATTTATGAATAAGAGACTTGTTCTGTAGTAGCATACTGAATCACTTTTTCGTAAAATTCCATAAAGGATTCATGATGCAGCTCTTTGGCATAAGTGGTAGGCTATGCTCCCAAGACTTTTCAACTATGAATAATCTCTATGAAGATAGCCAAAGAGGTGACGATAAGTTCTTAAGTTATTTATGAATCCTTTAAAATGTCTATCGAAATCATAAAACCTTTTGAAGAACTTCTGAATTATATTTTTCAAGCTTAAAAAATGGGGATTATAAAGTTCTTTAATTCATATTGCAAAAGTACTATTTTATCTTCAAGGAGTACTACAAAGCTTGGGTTTAGTACTAAATATTGCCCAAATTAGTTAGATAAAGAAATCAGGTAATGAATGTATAAGTAAAAGAGAGGAACTGGACAAACAGTCCTTTTTCCTTGATATTGAAATATCTTATTAAGAAGGTGAAAACGTGGTTAGCTTTAGATTACATAAATTCTTAATAATTATCTAGCTTCGCGAGGATTTAACTCAAGAAAGAAAGCTGATTTATTGATATTAAAAATATTAGCTTAAAATTATGAAGACTATTGAAATATCCACAAGTAAGTTCAAATAACCAATCAATACCTTCCCTCAAGACCCTCTAATCCTAACCCAACAAACCTAATAACAAACCCTATAACAACCCTCATTTCTCTTAACAAACCTCCAAATCCCATACCATACTAATTACCTCCCTCACCACCTTCTCCACTTCCTACCAACACAAACAATCACAGCTCAACTCTCCTTCTATAACGGCTTCTTTGATAGCCAAAATTTTGAAAATATCTAATGACTTAAGAGTAATAAGATTTTTAGTGATATGAATCTCTTTATACACATAATGGAGGACTTTGTCATGCAAAATTATAAGCAAAATTTATTAACCATATTCTTCTCAAATAGAGTCTCACAGATTTGTTCTCAATATTATAGCAAATGCACCTAATAAAGCTGTTAACTCAAATAATATGCATGGGTGAGCCACAGAGACTAGATATAAAAAGTTTGATATACATTTTTGAGCATCATTCCAAAAATATGCAATGAATATAAAACTTTGGAAAGCAGAGAATATCATAGTATAAATCTAAACAAAGGCAGCCTCTTGAAGACTAAAAGCCTCCACTTCCTCAGCTATAGGCTTGAGAAATGAAGTTATGAACTTAGAACAAACTCTGGGATGACTCCTAAATTAACTCAGAAAAATGGGATATATCTAGTAACTAATGTCAGCACTTATAGAAGACTTCGGTCAGCCCACCTAAGCTTTCTCTCTCATTCTCTAGTAATAATGGCTTGAGGAGAATCAACTAGGCGATCCTCTGAGAAATATCTTACCTTGGATGGGCTTACTTGAGGTACATTCATTAGAGATTTTACCAACTTTTTCACTGATAATAGTTCGTTCTGATGATACTATTTCAGGAATCTTTTTAGGACTGGTTATCCTGCTTTTCACTATAGCTAAAGTTAGTACTATAAATGAGTAATTTAGTGTCTGAGATTTAGACTATAAAGAGAGACATCATCGCTAATTTCAGGTATGTCCTTAAAGAGCTATTTCACCTGAGGTTTACTAATTCACTAATGTTGCTAAGTAAATTTCAGGTGCCAACTTACCATTTAATATAATACCATAAGTCCTCTGAGTAACAGGGCTACGATGAGCCCTTAGCTTCTTTGAAGTCCTACCTTCCAATGGGGAGAGTCATTTAGGTCTTCTGACTGGAGACTTAAAATTTGAGTAAATACTTTCGTTCACCTTGACCAAGTAGTACTTAGAGTTCTTCGTATTCATCTTGGAAAATCTTTTGATAATCTCATTAGTGTTCTCTATTTCAATATGTCAGAGTGATAGTTGTAGATCTTTGATAGGCACACAATTAACAATGTTAAGAAAGCAATGTTGTTGACCCACTTGTCGGATTTCTAATATCTAAACCTCTTCCATACAAGTCTTTATTACTTAAATTCTGGTAGAATATCGATTTAATTTAGAGTTTTATTATCACTCATCCTTTCTGAAGAAACACTCTGATTTAATATTTTCAACGAGACTTGGTTGCGTAAAGAGATTCAGAAAGTAAAGAAAAATGATCATAAATGCTTTTTTAAATAATTTAACAGTCTCTTAAGACCTAAAGTTGATGATTCTACTTAAAAGCTTAAGCATTATTGCTCCTTCAATCTTGCTCTTTCTTATATGAACTTTTTGTCAAAATATTGATGTGTTACTCCCCAATAAAAACTGAGAACTTAAAAAGAGTTGCAGTTAAGATTTAAAAAAGAGGAGAAATAAGTGAAGAAAGTCAAGATTTATGTCTAAAGAAACATCAATAATGGAGCTCGGCTGGTAAGATCCTGCAACGACAATCGGTAATTCCTCGTATTCCTTACGAATGAGCTATCTCACCCACACTTTGAGGATGCATGATTATCTAACTACTATATTCACTCAGGTGAATAAATTTATTTCTAATATTTTCTCATCTTCCAAAAGATGAAAATGCAGCTTACCCAAAGCGGAATAAGTTAAACTAAAATTTTACGTAAACTTAGCTAGTTCATAATTTTTTATATCAACCAAAGAATCGGTACACCACCAAGTCAGAAATATCATTTGGGGAGAGATAAGTAAGGTAAGTTACTCATTTCCGGACCCTTGCTGCCAACAAAGTCTTTGTTGCCCTGATAGATTATGAAGGAGTAACACCAATGAGAAGTGAATAAACTGTGCCTATTACATATTTTTAAGAAGATTCGAGGTTTATCCAGCAAGAGATGCGTAATAATTATATTTGTACTGACACCTAATTTTTAACACCGAGTTTATGAGAATATTGTAAATGTACCTTGACAAACAGTTCTGGAGAGTTTATCTGCATTCTTTGGAGTATTTCCATATAATCTCTGCTTTCCTGTCTCTCTTAGAGCAATCTTCTTGCGTTTGTGCAACAAAGGAAGAAGTTGTGCCTGGATCTGGTTAAAGAGATTAGGATCTCAAGTTATTTTTGAAGTCATTTTATAAAAAAATTGAGTGATAATATTATTAATATTCATTTTCTTATTAGCATGCAGGGGTTTTGGGGTTTTGGGGTTTTGGGGTTTTGGGG